TTTAAGTTTTTCCCTCTCAGATCCTCATTTTTAACAAATAGTAACAACAACATTAAGTCATTATCCCGCTATGCGTGGTTGTCGACATGAATCCTTTTTTCTCTATTGTGTTCTATTAAGAGTCAAACTCTCATTGAAATCTAACAAAAAAATGTCATTTTCTAATACTTTATAGTATTTTAAGTCTACCTCTACCTTCCTTAACAAAGGTCAGATCTAGCATATCTACTATCCTAACTAGATCAATGAAAGACTAACTTTTTATGTGACCAAACCATCTAAGATGACTCTCTCTCTAATCTTACCTGCCATTGGAGCTACTCAAACCTTTTCACATATATACTCGTTTCATATTATGTCTCCTAGTGTAAAATCACTCATCCACCTGAGCATCCTCATCTCTGCAACAATTGAACTTAATTTTATACTTCTTTTTTAATGGGCAACATTCTAAGTCATAAAGCATTGCAACTCTCACCACCCTTATAAAATTTTTCTTTTAAGTTTGAAGGATACTTTTCTATCGTACAACAAGCCTGATGCATTCCTCCACGTTAACCATCCAACTTGAACTCAACTACTAATACCCCTATATATTTCACCTTCACTTTGAACAATAGACCCGAGATAACTAAAGTGTGCACTCTTTTTAATGACTTTCTCACCAAATGTCACAATCCCAACACTAGATCTATTACTACTAAAGTCGCACTCCATGTATTCGGATTTTGATCTACACAAACGAAAACCTTTAAACTCTAAAGTACACCACCATAATTCTTTTTTTTTCATCAACTCCCTCTCTAGCATTATCAACAAGAAGAATATCATCAACAAAAAGCATTCACCACGATACATCCCCTTGCAAATGTCTAGTAAGATCATCCAGGACTAAAGCAAAAAAGATATGGACTAAAGTTGCTCCTTTAACATAATCCAACTGAAATAGGAAAATACTTGATAAAAGCACCATGTGTTTGAAAACAAGGTAATAGCTCCTATATGAATATCCTTAATGACTTGAATACAAGCATTATTAACTCATTTATTTTCTAAAACTCTCAAGAGCACTTCTTTTGGAACTTCATCATATGCATTCTCTAAATCAATAAATACAAATATGTAGATCCTCATTACTCTCTTTATACTTCTTCATAAAACCTCTCAATAAATGTATAGCTTCCATAGTAGACCTACGCGACATGAATTCAAATTGAATTTGAGAAACATTAATATCACGTCGTAACCTATACTCAATTACTCTCTCATAGTTTTAATGTATGACAGTTTAACTTAATTCCTCTATAATTCGCACACTCTTGCGCATCACATCAATTCATAAAATAGAAACCAACACACTCGATCACGACCTTGTTAATTCGACCCACATGAATATCTCCTTCCCTTTCTCCACTATTTCTTTTCCCTTGAGCCTAGCCCCACTTTTTGGGATTCAACTTAAATGAATTGCTCATTTACGGCCTAAATCACCATGGCATCTTATCTTGCTCTTATCTTTCTTATTACCGCTCTGAAAGCTTGAACTAACTCTGAGATTTTACTCCCTTGCCCAGTCAATCATTTTTTTAAGTGTGTAGCTATCTTCCAGCTGTCAACATTGTTGCGGATCTATGGTTCATGATTTTGATGATAGCAAACATTTCCTTTTCTATACGATTGCCTTATGTACTAACATTTCAGGACCACACAATCAAGACTGCAATTCAGAACCAGCTCAAGATTGGGTAGACTAGGTTTGTGTCAGTTTGTAATCTTTTCCTTTCTTGAGTCAATTGTATTGGGTGTGGGACATGTTGTTATGTAACATAGAAGTTTTCATGTTGTTCCCTTTAGGATTTCTATTTTTGGTAACATCAGCCTGGACGATCGTCCTATCGGCCTGGCCGATCGGTCTAAAAACAGAAACCCTAATTAGGGCATCCTCATTAAGGCAGCCGTCAACAGATCGGCCTGGACGATACTTGTATCGGCCAGGACGATAATCTCAATTCAGAAAGAATCAACCGCCATAATCAGTTTAGGAAAAAGGACCCGGCGACTCCGCCGCACCGGGGAAGGTGGAAGTGATTTTGTAAGGGCTTCTCCGCCTAGCCGTGGGGGCTAAAGGAGAGACATTAGTTTAGTGCAATACTTGGGGGGTGCCTCCAAGGAGTGGACGTAGGTCAAGGTTTGACCGAACCACTATAAATCTGGTGTGTTCTTTTTTTTTACTACTTCCGCGTTTTAATTTCCGCATTTATTATTGTGGTGATTTGGATTGTGTTTTGGTTTTAAAGTTTTCCAATTCACCTCTCTCTTTAATTAGCTTGGGACTAAGTTCAAGAGGGCCTAACATCCCGAACGAACTTTCAAGCATATCTGTTTTCGCTTTATCACACCACAAGTCTAACATTTACCTTGAGTCACTCTATATGATCTTCTCATTCACTCTTCGTTTTAGTCTTCAGCCAATTGCAATGATTGACATGACAAGTAGAGTCAATGTTTCCTCCACATTAAAGAAATGCTAGTTGATTCCATGCTTTAAATCCATGCATAGAAGATCACTACATGCCAAAGGAAAAAAGATCTCGTTTTCACCCTACCCCATGGGAAATCCATTAAAACTCATTCCCCTATGAAACAAAGATAAATTACAAATTTCTAGCTTACTACACCCTTCTATCAAGAGCCTTTTTCATTAAACTTCTGTTTCGTTCCACTCTTGAGTCTTTCTTCTCAATAGCAGTTGTCTTTGGGTACTAGAGTCCTCGCCTACTTATTCACTAGCCTCTCTTACTTTGCGTTGAAGGGGTGATTTAATGCATTCAAAAACAAAGATACATGTCTTCTATTCAACATAGAAAGTATGTTGGTTAGCTTATCTATGTTTGCTTACACCTTGGCCTTCTAGGAAGAATTTATGATACTATGGATTTTTTTACTTTGAAATGTTGGTACTTTATGGGCTTTCTTCCTTCAATCAACACTTTCTTCAAACTAAAGTTTAAAACCTTGCGAAAGTGAACTCTTTATAAGGCATTCTCGTTCTCAAATCAAGTTAATAAAACACCCATCACTCTCTCAAATATGTGCTTGAAGAATTGTGTCAAACGCCATGTGAGAAAAAAAATAATTTTCATAGATTACTATAATTGGAGGTCATTCACATGCCTAACAGGACAAGAAAGAAGCATTTTTTATAACATAATCCCATTTTACTCAGCAGTAATCTTGATTTCCTCGTGGATCGAATAGTCAAAGCAAGTGTCTCCATACAATTTTCGTCTTCTTTCTTTCATTTACAAGGATGATGGATATCCTTAACAGTGAGTCACAAGAATGATAAAGATCTATAGCGGGTCCTATGTGATTAGGCAAATCAAGCCATTACACTACACCCTTCTTTCAAGAATAGATAAGGTTGGCCTAACAAACGAATATTCTCGTTTACTCATAAATAGGGATAGCTCAAAGAATCAGTATTTTCATGAGAATAATTGAGATAGAACTATGCGGGGTGGACCAGTGTCAAAGCACCAAACTAAATGGCCAAGTAAGTGTTGGCTAGCTGATTGAGGTTGTTCGCGAAGGTACGATATATAGTAAAGTTTAGTATCATTCAACAGAATCAAAGACCAATTCCTCTAGGTCAGGATGGCACCTCATGCAAGAAGAACAATGTCGCGTAGAAAAAATTTAGCCTTTATTATAACAATAACAATATGTTTTTCCTATCAATTATAGGCCATTTTAAGCGAGTTGAATTATTTTCACAACTACAATACAAATTGAGACATAAATTTGATGCTCGAATTAGAATTGTTGATACACTTATTCAAAGATATCCTCTCTTTAGTACTCTTTGATCAAAATTGTATGATCAAAAGAACTTTATTCTAACAAGGGTGAGTTTTGCATGAAGAGGTCACCATGCCAAAACCTTTACCATTATAGTACTTTTACTCTACTATGCATAAGATAATGATTAAGAATCAAGGACGAGCCTTCTTAAACCTAAGGAAAATGACAATTATAATTGCAATTAATATGGGAGGTCCTTTTATAATAACTTAGCTATTAAAGTGTATGTTTAATTTTATTTTCTTTCTTATGGGAAATTTAGTACTTAGGGATAAATTCCCTATAAATTTGCTGGCCTTTACAGAGATTGGAAGTTTTTTAGAGAGTTAGTTTCAGGATATCCTTAGAGATTTAGATGGATTCCCTGTTCTTAGAGAGGTGAGGTGGAGAGGGAGTCATACTAGAGTCCAAGACTTTGCGCCATATTTCAGTCCGCTAGCCTTCCTTGTCATATAATAAATGTCAATTGCCTAGGTTGGCACGGTGCTAATATCTTGTACTCCTTTCTGGTTTGGCAAATAGTCTTCTTTATCTCTTGAGAGTTTATGAATTTTCATTTCAGCATAAAGATTCTTCAACCTATGCCATTATGTCTCTGAAACTTTAATTTATATTTTTCTGTAATAATTCTTCATAATTGTCCCTTGTCGTATCATTAATACACACACATGACTAACAATGAGAAAAATAAAACAACGAAAAATATGAAAACAACAAGAGTTTAATATCAAAAACTATACTTCAGAACAAAATAATCCCAGTAAAATTAAGGAAAAAAACATAAAAATTCAAAATACCAAAGAATCAGCATCTCCATTAAGTTAGCGAATCAATACAACATTAACTACCAATCATAAATAGCTATTATAAGCATCTTATATTAACTACATAGGGTTCCCTTTTGATTTCTTTTCAACACAAATTCCCATTTAGAGCTGCATCGGATTCTAATTCTTGCTTACAAGGTAAGTCTAAACAACTACTAAGCATGCTATAGCATCTAATTTTAAAAGCTTCAATAACCAATAATGTAACTTGTTTAAGTTCCAAATCGTCATATAAGCACGACAGGATTTCTGAAATGAATTCCAGACAAAAAAATAACCCAACTGTCAATAGTCAAAAATAGAACTTACCATGTCTGTTGTAATATTCTTTCCATAAACAAGTGCATCACCAGATGTCGGTGGGATAAGACCGACCAGCATAGAAATGGTTGTGCTTTTTCCAGCTCCGTTATGGCCTAAAATGTTAGGATAAGCAACTTATAAATGAGGGAAATCCTGCTTAGCAGTAAGCAACTGTTTTCTCCTAAATAAGCTAAACTCATTCTAAGAGAAGCAAACGAGATCTGAATTTAACAAAGAAGACAGCTGATTTATGTGAGGAAACAAATATGAAAAAAAAAAATAATAAGCAATGATTCCAAGTCTTCCTCAGAAAACTGTGTAGAAGATCGTATGCTACAGACAAGTACTAACAATAGCCCCAAATATTTTGTAAATGTACAATTTAAAACAGAGTAAAGACTATTTCCCCTAAACTAGATACATTAATATATATACACTATATAAAAAAACATATTGCTGTGTCTGCGCCGTACCCGTGTCCTATATTTTCTAAAAACGCCGTGTCCGAGTCGTGTCGTGTCCATGACGCCGTGTCCATGTCCGTGCATCATAGATATATATATATGAACTTAATGGCTGTATCTGTTATTTTAACCCCTAAATCTCAAGGCGAGTTCCCTTATGGTTGCTGCATACTGGCAAGTAGATATGGGCGAATTTGCTAATGAGAGTCCCAACCAATGTGATCCGTGTAAACCCACGATTTTCCCATGGGAGGTGATCACTCTCTGAATATTTTGCCAATTTGAGGATTGATGACACTTGGGCAAATCTTCATTGTCAAGATCCACAAGATACAAGTTCACCTATTATAACTTACTAGCTATTTATTAAATAATTGAAAAAGGCATATACAAGTGTACAAGGTGAGCATGAAATGATGGCATGGATCCGAAGCCATGTCTTGCATTTACAAGCATCAAGCAAAAAGATTCGCCAATTATTTGAATACTAGGGGAACTTAGCCACAACTCCAACGAAGTCATCTATAATGACAAACTCACGGAACTCGTACCCCATATCGAATCTCCCTAAATGAAAATAAGTTCTATGATACTCATACGCCGCCACTTAAAAACCTTGTGAGAGAGGTTTCCAGAGAAAAAAAAAACATTAGAGGTATGAACACAACATTTGGTGTTGCTAAATTTGCTCTTCATTAGGTTAGAGTTTGGAGAATTTTCAACTGAGAATAAATTCAAGGAAATGAACAGAAAAGTAGGTGGCAGAAAATTAATTGGATGGAGACAACCACTTCACGAATGTAGACCTAGAAAAAAATTAATGGAGTACATTGCGAGGATGATTTATAAAAGTTAAGTTTGAGTTTCCATGTAGATGGCATCTTGCTCAACCATAATAAAAAAACAATGCTGTTGATGTGGAACGTACATGCGATGATGGGTTTCATAATGAACGCTTGCACACTTAATTTTAGATAGAACACATAATTATATCTTTATAATAATTTGAACGACGAGATAAAACATTAAGAACGGAAAAACGAGTTTACGGTTGAATCACATGGGTAAGAGTTAAGATCATA